CGTGTGTAATCTCTAGCAAGGTGCCCTTCTGCACACTTGGGGGAAGCTGGCTTCTGGCAAGACTCCGCAGCAAAGAAGGGGGCATGCTGTAGCACTGAAATTTCTTCTTTCCACAGCTTCTCATGCTGCTGAGAACATTTGTGCAGATGACATTGGTCCAGCTGTGGGGACGTTTTCGACAAGTGGAGTGCTTTCTGTTGGCCAGAAGAACCTCATCTTCCTGCAACGTGTCAACAGCGGAAAGGACCTTCAGGGTGTCAACGGTCAGGGCAGAGAGGTCCTGGAGGTGGCCCACCTGGCTGTCCAAGGATAGTAGGGAGTCCTTTATAAAAGATACTTTTTCATTCATCTCTTTCAGTTGGAAGAACATCTCTGAAACCCTAATGGTGCGGACAGGAAGAAAGCCAATAACCACATTAATCTGTTGAACTTGGTTTTGCTCTCTGCTCGATTTGCTCCCACCCATACGTGACAACTAAATCGTACCTGCTTCCCAAATTTAGCCTGCCTCCTATGTCCTTCTCTCTCTCTAACACAGTACGTGTTCCAATCCCAGGTGATCTTACTTCCCTCTCTTCCCACTTCAACTCCAGAGAGGAATGCTGTAAATCTAAATTCCCAGCCCTGATATCTTTCTACTATCTCAGGACCGACTTTCCAGCTGCCTGCAGGTTATCACTGCAATTATCTGATGGGCCAGCCCATTATTATTCTCTAATGTAGTCATCCTATTGCATGACAAACACTGGAAAATCTTCTTTTGGACAATCCTGGTGGGAGGAAGCTCTAAGAGAAAATCAAAACGATGGAGACAGAAAACACCTTCAACCCTGTAGTTCAAGTATACATCTCACACTCCAAATAAAATCCATTTTAGGACGTCTATCGTCAGAAAAGAATATGGCAAAATTTTTAATTATTTTGAATACGTGAACCCAAAATTATGATATATAGCCATTGATTTATGTAAAAACAACATGGCACATTCTATAGTAGACTCATTTAAGAACAAACTGCAAATAAATAGGATTGGGATAACATTTTCATTCACAGAGAGGGAAGAAAAAATAAAATCTTGTTTGCTAAATGTTTATATATATATATATATATATATATATATATATATATATATATATCATTGTAAATATCTCCATTAGGGGTGTTATGGTTCCTTCAAAAAACAATGTTGACATCTTAACACAAGACCCTTATTTCGTTCTTTACACAAGTAGTCGAGTTAAAATTATTTCATTTACTAACCCCTACTTGAAGACAAGCAACATAAATATGAAAAAAAGTCTTTATCAGTCTATACATTGTAATTTGTATGTGTGTTTTCAGTGGCTGACCATTCAGTCTGTGTGGTCTTTGCTAGGGAAGACTATTTCTTCTGCTCTCAGTCTTCGGTGGCTGCCTAGGGTTTAAGGCCTCCTGAGCTTTTGCCTTTCCATATTATCGTGTATATTAAAGAAAAAGAGGCTCCAAATTTGAAAAAGACAATGCGGGCAAGGTATATGGGAATAGTTGAAGTAGTATTCGACAGGGATCAATATATAAAGAAAGAAAAATGAGTTAGGGTCACAACTATGAGCACCAAACACTAGAAACTGGGATATTCCTATCTTAAGATGCAGTGAGACAAGGACCTAATCAGTCTTGCAAAAAGTCTATAGAAATCTCTCCTTACCAGAGTCTATTCAAATGAACAGACTCTAACTTGAGAATGTATGTCTAGCTTCTTTGTCTTGCTAACTTTGTTAAGCATTAGCTATTTTGAAAAACTGAGTCATACAAGAAACTGTGATATTCTGTAATGGTACAGTATTTAATCACCAGGAAATAATGTTGCCAGTCTCCCTATAGATTATACATAAGACTTAAAGTTTTATTCTAATACTAAAAGGGCTTTAACTCAAAAATTGTTTTTCTTTTAAGGATAAGCTTAACAGGGATAGAAATGCAAATCCTAATCTGATAAAAGCCATTAACTTATTGTAAACTGTTAAAGATGTCTAAGACATGCAAGTTAATAGTCATATTATGAATTATCATATCTTTTAATTTGTTCAGAACTATACTTGCAATTATGCTGAGTACCAATGTAATTAATTACAGGAATAAGGTTTATTTAGTCTCCCATATGTTTTCAAGCTTAAGCCTAAAGCAAGTAACAACAAAAAGTCAATTTTATTTGAAATCAGGTATACATTTTGTTGTTGTTTGTTTTATTTTTCAAGACAGGGTTTTTCTGTATATTTCTGACTGTCCTGAAATTCACTTTGTAGACCAAGCTGGCCTCGAACTCACAGAGATCCACCTACCTCTGTTCTCCTGAATGTTAGGATTAAAGGTGTGCGCCACCACACTCAATGAAATCAAGTGTACTTAATTTATGGCACTCAAAACTTTTTAGAAATCTGAGGACTATGGCACGTAAAATGTTTAATGGAAAAAATGCTTCCTATGATAGACAAAAATGCCAGATCCTAGAAGCAACCCTAAGGCCTCCAAAGAAAACAAAAAAGCAAATTGTGTATAGACCTGGATTGTGGTGCCACTATCAAGTGGGAAAAACTTCTTCATGCCTCACCAGCTGCTCGGACCTGCACAAAGTGCGGACACTGTTGGATTGATTATCTTCCTCTATCTAAGTCAAGGTAGACCAGTTTTTCCAAGTTCTTCATCCATAGTAAAATCTCTCAGACCGTCTAAGTCTGACAGGCAAAGGCCAAGGCTGTCCTGTGCCGCAGCTGAAGATGCAATGCTGTCCTGTGTAACAGCCAAAGACTACGACTTCTGCGCCCAGTGAAGACACACAGACCACAGGAGCCTCACAGGTAGCAGCTAGGTCTCTGTCATTTTAATCACTGCAAAGGCCCTTGGTCTGTATTTTCTGCCCTAATTTATCCCTCTCAGATCTCTAATGGTGTTGATGGCTAACTGTAGCTTTGTCAGTTTGGCAGCAGTGGGAAACCAGTTTCTTCCTCAAGGCTGCGGCTACCTTGTTAGTTAATTTCCTATGTAAAAACCAAGCCTTGATGTTTCTAGCCTACTAGATCTCCTACTGAGAAAGGCAGACAGATTTGCCTTGCTAACAGGCTTCATTTTAAAAGATAAACATGTTTCAGATGTAACTTTTTTATCATTCCTTGATTTAAAAAAAAAAGAAAGAAAGAAACTTGTTTTGCAATGACTGCTGTCAGTAACTAGCTTCGTGTGCCTCGTGGTAAATGATTAGATGGAAATAAAAAGGTTTGAAGCTTAAGTAAGTTGTGAGGGTCTAAAAAAAGTGTTTTAAGATGTGTAAATGCAAGCTATAAAAGTCTAAGGAAGTTATTTAAGGTATGTGAAAAACAACAACTCTTTGAGATTTCTTTCTCCTCTAAGCTATTGTTATACTAAGGTTTCAAAGGTTCAGAGTGTTTTTTGTTTGTTTGTTTTTGTTTTGTTTGTTTGGGTTTTTTTTTTTTTTTTGAGACAGGGTTTCTCTGTGTAATAGCCCTAGCTGTCTGGAAGTAGCTCTTGTAGACCAGGCTGGCCTCAAACTCACAGAGATCTGCCTGCCTCTGACTCCCATGGGCTGGGACTAAAGGCGTGTGCCACCACTGCCTGGCCAAGGTTCAGAGTTTTAACATTGATCAATGAAGTTATGAGAAGATGGTAAAGTACTGACTATATCATAATCATAAGCTTAACAATTTAATTTCCTTTGGTTGTCTTCTTAGTATAGACTTAAAGGCCCTTCTCATTGGACTGAAAACATCTCTGTCCAATTTATATATCTAGCCCTCTGGAAAGAGAAAAGAATGTTCATGCTTTATAACCCCAAACCATAGCTTTTGCTATGACT